GAACCATTATCAAATTCCACTTTTCCAGATGGCTGTTCACAGTCTCCCTACCTAGGCAATATAACAACATTAGGGAGGTCTGTGGGGGCTGTTTTTCTATAGCCCTTTGTGAGGTTCTTGTCTACCTTGTGTAATTTGATCTTTGATTTCTTAAATTCTACTAAAAGATCTCATTTATGGATAGAAACCATTTTTCTTATACATGCTGGACCACATTCACTGATAAATTAATTGCCTTGGAATTCCTCTACTTCCCCTTTACCAACTCCTTAAACAAGCTAGTTTCCTCTCCTAGGCTGCTGCTCTTTCTGAGTCTCCTTCCATCTGAGGCTAATCTCTCCAAAGATGCCATCTCTATCCTCCTCCCTTATCAAGAACTTTCATCTCCTCTGCCATTGTTCATTCACAAGAGCCAAAAGATGGAGACAACCCCAAATTTCCATCAGTGGATCAGTGGGTAAACAAAATATGGTTATAAACGTGCAATGGAATATTATTCAGCCTTAAAAGGGAAGGAAATTCTGACACGTACTGCAACATACATGAGTCCTGAGGACCTTCTTCTAAGTGAATTAAGCCAGACATGAAAGAATAAATTTTCTTTAATTCCACTTACATGAATTTCATATAGAGTAGTCAAATTCATAGAGACAGAAAGTCAAATAGCAGTTACCAGGCGCCAGAGGAAAGAGGGAGCAGGGAGTTACTGTAGGGTGGGTACTCAGTTTCCATTTGAGATCATGAAAATTTCTGGACATGAATAGTGTTATGGTTTCTCAATATGAATGTGCCTAATGCCACTGAAGTGTACCCCAAAAAATAGCTAAAATTGTAAATTGTACTTTATGTATATTTTACCTTAATAAAGAGGGAAAAGAATTTACTCTTCTCTGTCCCCCATCTCTGACTTCTCACTCTCTTTTCCTAGCAGCAACGAAAACGTTCTGTGCTGTAAGCCAAATTGAAAACCTCCTTCTTCAGTACTCGACTGACTGCACCTGCAGCTACCTCCCTCCCAGCCAACCATTACCCAGTCTGTAATGGTCATATAAACACTTATAGTTACCCACCATTCACTCTTCAGAGCATGCCTACATGACTTCTGCTCACACTACTCCGCTGACCCTTGCCAAGGCTATGAATGACTGTATATTGCCAAATCTAATGAATGCCTTTCAGTCCTCACCTCATTGGGCGTCTCAGCAGCATTCCCATCTGTTGACCTTGTCCGTCTTCTTCCAGCACTCTTTAAATTCTTTTGCAACCACATTCTCTTTATTTCTCTCTTGTTTTTTCTCTCTCTGTTGTCTACCTGCCCTTCTCCCCAATCCCCACCTCTATTCCCGTCTCTGACCTTTAAGTGTTACAGTTTCTCAGGACTTGGGCCTGGACCCATTTACTGGAATTTCCCAAAGATATATTACAAGAATCATGTTTTAAATTGAATTTTTGATACCTCTTCATTGACTCACCATTTTCAAATCACTATTTTCTCTTCTTAGTGGACACTTCTCTAGTCCGAGCCACTGTCATCTTGCACCCACTCCTGCAGGAGTCCCCAATCAGTTAAATTATTGTTTTTAATTATGTTACTGCTTTTACTTGCTGCTTTTTATATCAGCACCAGGGCGGTCTTTTAAAAATATTCATCACGGCCAGACACAGTGACTGGTTCACGCCTGTAATCCCAGCACTTTGGGAGGGTTTCACATGTTGGCCAGAATGGTCAGGAGATCGAGACCATCCTGGCCAACATGTGAAACCCCATCTCTACTAAAAATACAAAACTTAGCTAGATGTGGCAGTGCATGCCTGTAATCCCAGCTACTCAGGAGGCTGAAGAAGGAGAATCTCTTAAACCTGGGAGGCAGAGGTTGTCATGAGCCAAGATTGTGCCACTGCACTCCAGCCTGGTGACAGAGCTAGATTCTGTTTCAAATATATATATTCATCACATTGTATCACTCCTACTCAAAACACATGGTTCCTCTGCCGTTTCTCCTCCACTAACCCTGTCTCCTGGTTTCCTCACCTAGCTTCTCTGCACCTTGAATGACTAAGCAATGACCTCCCATCACTCTTAGATTAAATCAAAGCTTCTCTCACGCCTGTGCCTGTTGGCTTTTCCATCTGCATCCTGGCGGAGTTTCCTCTCTCATCTCCCAGCTTCTGGCCTTCTTTCACTGCTTTGAATGCGCCAAGCCTTCCCCACACATGCCCTTTGCATTTGCTGCTTCCTTCACCCTCAAGACTTTTCTCCTGCTCTTCACTTGTCTGGACCTTCTCATTCTTATATTCTCAGCTTAAATCTATTTTTTCACTGAGGCATTTCCCAATCAATCAATTCCCTATTATTGTGTCTTCTAACATCTTTCATAGCACTTATCACAACTAACAATTATAGATCTATACTTGTTTTATAACTGTTTCCTCTGTTAGAATGTAAATTTCATGAGGATAGTGTGTGGTTTTTGTATGCCAACATATTAATCTTAAGCAATTGCTTGTAATTTCTGACACCTAGTAGATACCTGATAAATATTTTTTGAAAGAAAAAAGAGAGCGAGAAAGAGAGTAAGGAGAGAAGAAAGAATATCCATGAGTCTGTTTCATATGACCTCTATAAAAATGAACAGAAAAATGAACAGGTGTTTTAAGCAAACTTATAATTCATGAACATCTAAATTTACATAAAGGGTATGTTGAAAGGTGATTTTTCCACTTTACAAAAAAGATCCATCATAAGATTCTTTAAACAGGCTTCCTAGGTACATGTAAAATAAGATTTTATTGATTAAAACCATATGTTTGCACAGAAATTTTTAGGAAAATATCTTTTATATAAAGTAAGGTTGACCTCTAAGCAATTTCCTTAAGGCACCTAGCCCAGAATGGCCAATTCTCAAATTTCTGAGGTAACAGATAATGGGAGGCCTGGAATGCAGTGCGTATTTGAAACTCTAGAATGCAAAGTGGTAATTTTAGGCATTCAGGGTTTGTGACTCTTCTCACAAAAATAGCTAATGGGAAGATAAACCTCCCCAACTCCTCTTTCTATATCTCAGTGAAAGTAAGAGTGGCTGTGAAATGATCCCCACAAAGGCTGCTGCAGAAAGGAAAACAAAGGCTTGGAAAGTCACCAAATCCAGTCTTTCCCCTTACTCTCTCGCCACCTCCACTACTGCCACTACTGATAAGTACGTTACTTTATTGCAAAATGAAAAGGAATTCAGTGTGTTAATAAATAGAAAGCAGTTAACTCCTCTGAGTCTCAATTTCCTTGTCTTAACAATGTGGGAGTTTGAGGGGTTTTTTAAAGATTGTTTTATAATGCTGTTCCTGAGCCTACCTAAACTTTACAAAATAAGGCAATTTGTAATCCTTTTCTCTGGCTAATAAAATAAATTTCACAGCTATTTCTCCCCTTCTTATTGGAAACTTTAGTGAAGGATTATGAACTTTAAATCAAAGCATTTATAATATTTGTAGAATTGATTGATTTGACTGTTATTGGCGGTTCTTGCTAAGAAGAAAATACCTTGCAGAATTTACTTGCAACTAACATTTTTTTCTTAACAAACATATTCCACTGTGATGGAAGCATAGTGAGATATTGCTGAACTACAGGACAGGTGAACCATTTTAGCTACCAGAAACAAAAATAACTTATAGGGTGTGGTAATAAAGATCAAGGTAGGCTGGGAAATAGGTTAATTTTACCCTTCAAAAACAACACTGCTTTTATCTCAAAAATCCCCAAACATGCAAATTTAGAAGAAAACATATGGGACATGGGAAAAAAAGAAAAAAAAAAAAAAAGCCTAATACCTTAAGCTTTTGGCAAGATTTTTGCCCTCATCAACCACCTGAAGCATTATTTCTACCCTGACTCCCAACTGTGTTGAATATTTTGCCCAAACATTACTATATTTAATGACATTTTGAGCAAAAGTTATTTATCTAAGTGTTGTACTTATCTATTAACTTCTCACATAAACATACATGAGAGCATTGAATGAGGTGTTCAATAAGGTCTCTTGTGGCACTGTTGTATAATTCCAGGAGTTTATCCTTAAGTACCGTTGACACTAGGGCTCAGGAAGCCTGCTTAGGAGATTAGTCAGCTTTTATTTATATATTAATGATAATCTTTTAGTTTCTTGCTCTCTATTGCATTAATAGGTCATTATAATTAGTCTTGAATATTTGTCTAAATAATAAGGAAAATTTTCCAATTATGTGTGCTTAGGCTGGCCCTTCCCTTCCCCACCTTCTATCGACACCTACAAAGGGAATCAGTATCTCATCACAGGAGGAACTGACATACTCATTGTAAAGAAATTCCTGGCTGGGCGTGGTGGCTTACCTCTAGCCACCTAGAGGTATTCCTAGCACTTTGGGATGCCAAGGTGGGCGGATCACTTGGGGTCAGAAGTTCAAGATCAGTCTGGTCAACATGGTGAAACCCAGTCTTTACTAAAAATGCAAAAATTAGCCAGGCATGGTGGTGTGCACTTGTAATCCCAGCTACTCAGGAGGCTGAGGCAGGGGAATCACTTGAGCCCCCAGTGGCGGAGATTTCAGTGAACCAAGATCACACCACCTGCACCCCAGTCTGGATAACAGGGTGAGACTCCGTCTCAAAAAAAATAAAAAAAGTCCTAACTCTAAGCAACCTGAATAATAGAAGAATCACAAAACAAGCTGATGTTTCTTTCTCAGACTTTCGTAAAAGCACATGATATTGTGCATGATACATGATAAATATGAGTGAAAGGAAGAAAGGAAGGAAAGGAAGAAGAAAGAAAATGGAAAATTTCCTAACGGCATTATTTTTCTGCTTTCATTATCTTATTTTAGTTCCATTTTATGCCAAATGATCTTGACTTACTTAGAATAAAGAAGTGTAACTTAATGAGCTCATCCCATAAATATCTTAGCTTTACCGCAAAAACAATGTGATTATTGTTAACAACCTTCTTCTCCTTCATATTCACTAGATTTGGAAAGAAGAAAGAGGATAAGGGTGGAAAGGCTGAGCAGAAAGGTGCTCTGAAGCATGGTGGCCTGAGAGAGGAAGAGCTGGAGAAAATGAAAGAAGAGCGTGAAAGGTGAGAAGTGCTGAGCTCTTCATTTTCTTTACTCTTTGGTCTGTGTTTAATTTGGATATTGCAATAGTCAACTGGAGAAATTTCATTTTAAGAAGTATAGAGGTTGACTGATCCAGAAGGAAAGGTATCTGAAACAAAAAGAACCTACTTCCCTCTCTGGGAAATTTTTATTCTGTTTTGAGAAGAAATAGCTTCATGTTTTTACTATATCAGTGCCTGTAATTCCATAACACACTACCACCTGTTTTGACCATAAAAATGCATATTTTCTCTATTTTTTCAAAGAAAGGTCATGTGGATATTGATGTTTAGAACTATCCAGTTCCCATAGTCTGTTCCTAATTTCGGTCAAGCTGTTGTATACCTTCTTAATTTTATTCTGCGCAATCCTTATAGGCCCTGTAATTTGAGGAGTGCATGTCCTTCATTCTTTAAAAAGACACTGTCTCTTATTAGGCTATCAGCAAGCTCAAGAGTATGTTGCCCATCTGTTAAAGGGCCAGCTTCATTTGCTGGAATAATGCCAGTTTGTGAGAGCTGGATTCTCCTGTTTGAGGAGCTTAATGTTCCATTTGGACAAGAGGTCCTTCACATATCTTTGGTGTTAACTCTGGCAAGCGGATGTGTAAATGTCTGATTTTCAAACATGTAATTGAATATTCATATTTCTCCTGAAAATTCTTTGCCTTCACAACTAAATGAAGCTTGGAGAAAGACTGAGATTATGACAAAACCAGCATATAATTTTAAGTATTTGATTCAGACTTCATCATGTATACACTCAGATTTATACAAATTTTCACTTGCTTATTAGTTACATTAGTTCTTACAGTTTCTGAAGACTCCATTCTTGTTTTGATTTTACTTTAGTGTATGTACTAAGAAACTCACATCTATTCATTGTGTTTTCTAGCACGGAGTGGTCTAAGAGTCTCTACTGTTAACCTTTAACCCCTATTTTGTAGTCTATTCCCATGGAGAGGCTGACTTTTTCAATAGCAAGGAAAAGAAGCTCTTTAGTCCTTTCTCATTTTTGAGAGGTTGATAAGCTGAGTTCTGAGGTCACTGGAGCAGTTAAAAGGAAATCAAGTGTTTTACATTGTTGTTGACTATTCACCTGACAGAACTACCCCAAAGACACGAAAGATATTCTCCATCATAAGCTAAGATTCAGCAATCCTGTAATGTAAAATGTAATCCAGGCTGAGATTTTAATGCATATATTGGCAAAGACTTGTATGTGGGGAGCCTACATCATAGATCTTTTCTGCTCCCTCAACTTCTCCTACTGAGGCTACATCCCATGGCTCATCTTCAGGAAACTGAACTGTTCGCTAGAATGCAGACTTGACATTTTTTGTAGCTCAGTACTTGCTTGGGACGGGGGAAAAAAATCTCTTAGTAGCTGGGGAACTGTGTGCCAGCTAGGAAATTGATAACCCATAAAATAAGGTGAGTTGTCTTTAAGCAAGAGTTCATTTCCTTTCTGGTTTTGCCTTTAGGAGGCAGGTGCCTGAGGGAGTCTTGTTCTTAAAAGCCGAGCTGTAAATTCACTTCAGCTGGCTGTATAGGCTTCAGATCCAATTTTCTTAAAATATGTCTGGTCAAAATAGTGAAAGAACTACACTATTAGCTTCTACTTAGGCCACTTCCCACACATGAACACATAAAACACATCTGATTGGGGTTTCCTAGAGACAACATTGTCTCAATCATGTGCTAGAGGAAGAAGCTGAGGAGTTGATTTTATGGTTGGGTGCTACAGAATTAATGACCAAGGGCATTTCAACAACTCAGGGGCTAAGAACCACGGATGGTGGAGGTGGAGGCTGAACATCTGGCATTGCTCCTAACCCTGGAGTCCTGATCCTTAGTCCTCCATCATCTATAGAAAAGCAATTCACAACTCTTAAAGAACTCAGTGAGTGTATCACTCTTCATGATATGTCAATGAAAAAAATAGAATAAAGTAAGAAATAGTGATAAAAGCTATTGTACTTTCTCCTAATACATTTGAAATATGTTGCTTTGCTGTGATTCAAGCCATCCTATTGCTTACTCATTTCATCCTGTCATAGGTATCATAATAGATTTACATTCATATATCTCGTTTTCAAAATATTTAATGCACTTAAATATATACTGTACAGAACTGGAACCAGCTTGTACCAGCTTATGGGAACTAATTGTTAAACCTTCAAGAATTTTGTAAGCTGGTTGATAAGCCATTGGCAGTTTGAAATTGGCTATGGTGGGTATATTTATAGCACAGTTTTTCCAAAGACCTAGTTTACCAGCATACTGCTGCAGGTCTGTGACAGCTATCTTTAGTGCATATCCAGGAGACAGTTATCCAAAGTAGAGGCAGAAAAAGATTCCAAATTCAACCACATGATTTCTTATAGCAGAGTTTCTCAAAATGTGGTCCAGGGACCAATTGCATCAGAATGAATCATTAGAAGACCTTGTTAAAAATGAAGATTCCTGCACCCCATCCCAGAATCAGAACCTTGGGAGTTGGAACCCAGGAATCTGTGTTTCATATGCAAGCCCAAGGTGATTTGTCAGCAATCTAAAGTCTGAGAACCACTGACTTGGAGGAACAGAATTTGGTTAGAACATAAAACAATTCTTATTTAGTGAAAAGTGGTACACAGGATTTTTTTCTCAAAAGGACTGAGTGGCACAATGTACAAATATTGTCCTCATTCCTCATGTGCCTTCTCTGAAATTTCTTTTCTGTTCTCTTTTTTTTTGTTTGTTTTTTGTTTTTGAGATGAAGTCTCTCTGTGTCACCAGGCTGGAGTGCAGTGGCACAATCTCGACTCACTGCAACCTCCGCCTACCTAGTTCAAGCGATTTCCCTGCCTGAGCCTCCCAAATAGCTGATACTACAGGTGCATGCCACCACACCTGGCTAAATTTTGTATTTTTAGTAGAGATGGGGTTTCACCATGTTGGCCAGGATGGTCCCGTTCTCTTCACTTCATGATCCACCCACCTCAGCCTCCCAAAATGCTGGGATTACAGGCGAGCCTCCGTGCCTGCCCCGAAATATCTTTTCTTACTGGTACAATCTTTTGTAAACAAATTAGAAACTCTAACCAGTGCTCATACAGCTAAGGGAATCACTTGCCCTCAGCATCCCTCATGCACGCAAAACTTACTAAAGCAATATCAGTACATTAAGAACATTTTGGAAACATAAAAAGTATAAAGACTATTAAAACCATATATAACTCTACCATAATCCCATAACCACTACTAATATTTTATAATCTTTTTTCCTATGCTTATACAGTTGGCTTTGTATCCATGGGTTCCACATCTGTGGATTCAACCAACCGCAGATTGGAAATATTTTCCCAAAAGCAAAATTTAAATTGCTGTGCCAAGTACTACATTGAATCTATGCAAATGAAGCGATGCGTAGGCACTATAATAGGTATTATAAGTAATCTAGAGATGATTTAAAGTATCTGAGAGGATATACATAAGTTATATGCAAATATTACTCCATTTTATATCAGGGAGTTGAGCATTTACAGATTCTAATATCCACAGGGTGTCCTAGAACTAGCTAATCCCCCATGAATACCAAGGGACAACTCTATATTCTTTGAACACTTGATATTCAAAACCTGCACCTATAACATCTTACTCTTTTCATAGCGTTATATGTTGAACATTTTCCCCGTGTTATTAATGTTTTCAAAATATGTCATGTTGATCACTGCCTAATATTCTATGAGGTCAATATGGAATAAATCATTTACTTTCCATTTTCAAACATTTAGTCTGTTACAATTTTTCTCTTTTTTTCTTTCCTTTTTTTTTTTTTTTAAATAGAGACGAGGTCTCTCACTACGTTATACAGGCCGGTCTCGAGTTCCTGGGCTCAAGTGATCTGCCCACCTCAGCCTCCCCAGTGCTGGGATTACAGGCGGGAGCCACCATGCCCAGACTGTTTCCATTTTTCACTGTTCCAAAGAATACTTGGATGAATATCCAGGTACAAATGTCTTTTTTTTTTTTTTTTTTTTTTTTTTTGTTTGTTTGACAAATGTCTTTATAAGTTACCTCCTAAATCATGTAATTCCTATTGAAGTTATAATTTCCCTGTAATTGTTTACCCCAGGAGTAATCTAACCTCAATTCTAAATTTTGGCGTTTTATGTTATCTCTCCCCATTTGTCTATTTTTTTGCTGATTTTCGTATCTCATTTTAATTTATCTACATATCTAATTCCTGATCTGGAACCATTTTGGTGTTATATATGGATAGTTTATTTATAGGTCCACAAATTGAAAAAGTCAAGAAAGCTTAAAAAAATGAGTTGGGCTACTACATTTGATTGCAGAAATCCAGAGTCTAGAACACTGGTTCTCAATGGGAGGGGGCAATTTTAGCACAAGGAGCATTTGGCTATGTCTGGAGATATTTTTGATTGTCATAACTTGGAAAGAGGGGTGGGCAGTTATTGCCTTTTACTGGTAGAGGCTAGGAATGTAGCTAAAAATCTTATAATGCACAGGACAGCCACTCTCCCCCACAACATGAATCATCCAACCCAAAATGTCAATAGTACAGAGTTTGAGAAACCCTTTTACAGTCTCCAGCCTACACAAAGAGCAAGGTACCCTACTAGACGTCAGACTTGCATTGTGTCATATTTCCAGTGGACAATGCAGAGAAATCTAGATCAGAGGACATAACCCTAGAAAGACTATTAGCTATTTGAGAATGGTACCCAAATATTACTGATGAATATCCCATCAATATAAGCTTGCAGAATATTTTTTTTTCTTTGAAATTTATTTTTAACCTTGGCCTGCAGAGCACTGGCGTTAGTGATGGTGACCTGTTGATCAGATTGTGGATGCCACAAAACTTCAGGGGTTGATAATATGTCCGATGACACAATCATGAGGAACAATGGACTGAGTTAAACATAAAGAAAGTTAATAGAAACAAATGTAAAGTCTTGAATTTAGGTCCA